CATGCATCAGTGTCACCGCAGTAATTACAGGCTTATCACGTAGCCATAATCTTGAGCCACAGTGACGTGATAACAGCCAGCTTCATTGTCCCTGGTGAACACTCAGTGTTTGTATGCCGAGTGAGCGCTCAAACCAGTAACACACACGACCGGGCTGAGCGTGACTTCTAAGAGGATGTAATGATTAAGATGGCATGATCAAACATTGATTGGGGCTATGCAGTCGGTTTTACACGCACGCCACTTGTTCATATATGCAATCTGTATCAATCCGTTTCCTGTTGTTCATTTTTCTTAAAAGTAACATTTTTTTCACTTTAACCTGCAGATCCAGCTCCTAAAAACCAGTTTGTCAGCATTTGTCGTCGCCGGTTTAAAGATCTCATTTGACAATCTTACCCACGTCCTAAACCATTAAAAAAAATTAAATAAAAGAACGCACAGAAGAAAGACGATCTGAAACAGGCCTGGATGACTTTCATTAATCCCTTGTACTTTTCTGAGGATGTATGTGACGCAACGTTTTCGCACCAAAGCTGTTGCACGACAACACAAAACAAACCCCGGCGTTTTGATGTTTTGATTAGTAGCGCTTTAGGCGAATGAAAACACACGACTCTAAAGGTGAGAGTCAAACGTGTTGCTCTCTGCGAGTTGCACGTTTTGTGTAATAGCTGGGAATTAACACTTACATTAACACAGCAGCCACATGGTGGTAATTTTTGGTTTTAAGTTTACTCCCACACATGTTTCCAAGGAAAGAACCAGATTAGTTTGGGGGATTTAAAAGGATATTGTTTGAATCTTGACCCTGTAAAAGCCTATTCAAGGTGTGGAAGAGCACGAACCTTAGCGTAAAAAGCTCATAATATGCCTAGTAAAGATGTGTGGACAGGGTAACTGGTTTTATTGCCAAAAGGAAACTCTGTATTCAAGTCTTGGAAGTATAAATGTGTGTGCAGGCAGTGGAACAACGTGAAAAGTGCAACTAATTCACACTTAACACTGTGCATTTCAATAGCATACATTTTTCTTCAGGCAGCATTTTAATGCATGCATATATTGTATTATATATTATTATTTCACAGCAATTGCACCCATTCCTGCCACTGCAACTAGTTTGAGAGAATAAACAGATAGGAAAGAGAGATAAATCCTTTCCCTTTTTGCATTAGAAGTCCTGTATTGCACATTTAGAATCCACCATCCACTCTGAAGATAAACTATGTCTATGCAACTCTCACTGTTCCACGCAATCAAGATAGCTAATCAGTATCTCAGATTTTGGAATAGAGATCTACTGCATCCAATCCCAAGAAGGATTCATAAAGTTCATGCAAACGCTTGGTGAAATGTCCACGAGTTGTAGTGTAAACTGAATATCTTGGGACTCTTGGTAAGACTGAACAAGCAATATAAGTGCTTGAATCTCGCACAAGATACTCTGGACTTTAATAAGCTACGTTATTAAAAGGAGTTAAAGCATCTGCAATTGAGCCAACTGCACAATTACAGCCTGTTTTGTTTTTTTTGTGTGTGTGTGTGCACTTAACATGAACTGTGAGGGCGAGCTTGTGCGGAGGATGATAAAAACATCTAAAAAGCCAAACGCTGACAGGTTCCCAGCCAGCGCAGGATGGCTCGAACTTGTTTAGGCGGAGCCGACAAAACCTGCACATCAGTCAATCTGTCACCAAGAGACGCCCTAGGTGAAGTCCAACTCCTGGAAAGAAAGAGAGGGAGACGCAACCGGGGGGGAACTGAGAGAAACATGATCAAGCTCACTGTCCTGACCTGTAGAAATATAATACTGCTAAACAAGCTCCTGAACGCAGAGCATGCACACAGTGACTGTTCCCCTGGTGGGGCCTGACTTGTCAGAGCTCAGCTCAGTGAACAGATCCAGGTGGTGTAGGCAAGACACCAGAGAAGGTCACACACACACACACCGCTCTATTACACCCAGTAGTATTTGGCTAAGGGCAGTGTTTAGGTTGGGTTTAACAGCTGTCTGTCAGCATGACGTTTTCAGCTAGCGTTCATTCACATGCCTCATCTTCCATCTTGTAGTTTAAACATTAAGATGACACTCTAATCCAGGATAAGTCATAATGAGTGCACTGGGAGGCCTTCAGTGTCTTGCTCAACGAGGCTCCGCCTGAGTGTTTCCACCGGTGTAGGGATCGAACCTGTGACCTCGCACTTATCGAAAAAAAGCCTTAACGCCACTCTACTGTGACTTTCATATATCGTGTTGGGTTTTCAAAGGCTGGGACTGAGCCCAAAGAGTGGCAGGAAGATAAAATGTCTCTCCCACTTTTTTTTCCCCCAGCAAAGTCTTAAGGTAATGAGGCTGCCTGATATGCTGTGATCCCAAAGCTCCTCTAAGAGAGCTTTAATTAAATAGTGTGAGCTAGCAGCTTGCTGTAGAAGAACAACACATTCTTTGCATTTTATCTGCACAAACGACTGCATCTGGGTTTTTCGGCCAGAGAGGGTTTTTCTCTAAAGATGTAGGTGTAGGTCCCTCTTGTGTTGCTTTAAATCTCACTTCCTGGCTGCGCAAGTTTCCGAGTTGCTGACAGAATTAGCGCAACGCCAGCCAGTTCCCCTCCTTGTCAGTCGCTCCCGTTTCACTCCTCCTCCGATAAGCGAGTCCAATCCTGCTGATGTATCCCTGTCTTCAGTCAAACTCAACGACGCGCTTTCAATCAGCCGCCAGCTTTGGGTCCCTGCAGTAGATCATCTCTGCACGTCAGAAGGATCTAGGCTCTGCTAAACCTCACCTTCATAAAACATTCATCTTTATCTCCATCTCTAACTACATGCAAACTCTCTTCCTCTTTAAATATTTCTCTACCATGTGCCCTTTCTCTCCCCCCCCCGCCCCCTCTCAGCATCCATCACCTCTAGTGCTTGCTGAAAAGAGACAGATCCTGTCGGGGGGGAAAAGTGACACTTTATGCAGTTACTTGGCGTTTTCAACCTGCGACAAGTGATACGCCGATTTTAGCCCACAGAACCCACACTGGCCTGTCGAACCCCGTGACCTTCAGGCTATGGGACACTTCCTCTAACCGCTGGATGCTCCACGCCTGTGTCAAGCGTTAATTCATTACTTCACAGTAATAGCTCAGTCATGCTTACTTAGTAACCGGCGAGGGAATTTGCCGTGTCCTACATTTATATTCCGCGTGTCGTTTGCCCTTTAGCACCTTCGCCTTGCTTGCTGAGAAATCCACTTGTCTGTTGTGTGCAGTCGTTAACAGCTGCGACCACCTGTGTGGCCATTTTGCTGCAGCGTGTGGTGCGAGTATGGGTGTGTGTATGGCAAGAGCATGACAACACTATTACATTATTGCAGCACTGCAGTTGGGAAGACAAGTGAGGTTATTAGCATTAAATAAGACCTTGCTTCTCGCGGACATTTTCTAAATTTGTCGCCGGGTGTCAAGGGGGGTGTGGCGAGGAATTCTGGGTCCTTGCGTCCTTGCCAACTTCCCCCCCGAAAAATGCCCAGATGAGGGAGACATAGTGTCACCGCTTTTGGTGACATGAGGATTCGGACAGGTTCTTGGCAAAGCTGCTGCAGGCCGTTTGTTTTTTACGAAGCACGCACACACACACACACA